CTGGACCCACTCCGCTCCACCGCGTAGTTGGGGAAAGGCTGCTGAGGACTTGGCTTATGGAGAGACTGTAATTGCGGCTTCTCAACGTACACCCTGTAAGCAATGGCCACAACAGCACTTCTCAACTTGAGTCTGGGTTCAAAGCATGGCATACAGCTTGCCGAACCAGGGCGGCGTTTAGGGCGACGGATAGCAGACTCGGTCTTCGCTTTTGGTCCTAATGCCAGAATCACATCTTGGGGCACATTCTTGTGTTCATGGTGACCTCGGCACAGCAGGAAGGGTGAGTGCAGACACAGTAGTCTAGGAACCTCAGTATTGCGACAACGGCGTGGGATACCCAAGTAATTTAGTATAGTAGACCAGCTCTACACATAATACTTTAGCTATTTTCAGCAACTATAAAAGTCGTCAGGCTCCAGTGTGGACGCTTTTGAGACACGGGCCGAGATGATCGAGTGGAAACACATGGGTGCTGCATAGGTGTGGTCAAGAGGCGAATCGCCAACATGACACAAGGGGGCCACGGAACCACCGGATTCCCGAAAGGCATCTTCGCCATGTTGAATCCCCAATTCTTCATGCGGAAAAGGCTTGGATAAAGGTACCCTTTGAAACCGTGGCTGTTTTTGTGATGTCATGCGCCAGCAAACCGTACCTGCCCTGTTCATAGCTGAACCCCCAAAGACTACCCGAGCGCACACTTGGGCCGCGCCACTTGCGACCCGAATAGTTTACAGCTTAACCACTTCGGCATATGGCCTTCGACCCATGCATTGTGAACTTGGAGGATCGGTGTGCATGAGAAGTCCTCATCTGGCATCGTACATCTGTGCGAATCAGGGAGATAAGCTGCGGACCGTTTGTGCGGCACATCGGGCGGTGGGGATGTCCTCAAGGCTCATGACAGCTGATGCACCAGGGGGCTACCAGGGCGAAAGCATCCAGGACTTGGGAGATGTACAGCCGCGATCTGTAAGACTGAATGTGCACGTCAGCCGTACTCGCCGGCTTGCTACTCAAGAGTTCAAAGACCCTAGTTAGTTGGCTGGGTGGGCGCCCAGCAGGGGATGGTGACGCAATTAGGAAAGTTGCCTATTGCCGCGAGCCCTATAATGAAGACCCGACCAGAAACAGCCAAACCCAATGGAATCACATCTGTTCATGTGACATCTGAGAATCTGAGAGCACGGCCCCATGCTGCTTCAGGTCGCACACCGATAGCACCTATTCGGGGTCGGGGGGCGTCAACTGCAACAGGTGCTCATGGCTGTGCTTAAGATATCTGCCTACGTATGTACCGTACATATATACATGTACGAAAACGTAACCGAAGCAGTGTGTGTATATATGAATGTAGATATCTGTGTTTTAGACTCTCCTATAGCTGTATAAACATACATACATGACAGTGGCATATGTCCTGCCACCGCCCAAGTAGCCGGGGGAACCACCTGCAAGTTCTGGAATGGGGCCCTGGCCAAATTTCGCACGGGATGCTCATTCTCCTGGTCGTCTTCCATGTCGCCTAGCACAGAGCTTCGCAAATCCGCCCTTTTGAAATGACTCTGTGACACAAGCACTGCGTCCCCGAACAGGAAGGCCTTCAGCTCAATTTCTGCATGTATCGGCGCGCATTTCATCGAATCACGCGCTGCAAAGCTTTACACCCGCTCCTGAGTTATCTTTGAAAAAGTCTGCCCATTTAGATTTGATCGACTTCCTGCATCACTCTTGCACTCTACTATATGACATCGGGACGTGCTTCATGATTGCATATACATGTTACTATATACCTTTGCACATGGTGCTTGGCTGTGCTGCATCAACAGCGATCATCGAGTCTCGCTGCATCCGCTTAGCTATCTTCCTATGGCATACACACCGACCTACCTGGCTGCCTGCCTCCGCCTACCTACCGGCTCGCCTGCATGCGTGCCTGCCTGCACACAGACGTACATCAACACACAGAGAGACACGCACGCGCAGAAACACATGCACAGTGACTCCACTCAGTACTTTGTCATTTCCCACTGTCTTCGGTCTACACTCTCTCGCTCTAGCTCTCTGTTTCCCTCTCTCTCTCTATGTATGCTATGTACCTGTACGTAGTGCTCACCTTGCTGTTCTGTTTTAGATCCCTACCTCCTTGGAAAAGTGGCGGAAGGGAGGAGCTCTCGAAACTTCGCCCCCCGAGCCGAAGGGAAAGCGCTGCGGGGCAACTGTGGGCTGCAGGTTTCAGATTTGGGCTCTTGGTTTTTGAGGGCCTTTTCCGAGGTTTAAGGTTCCTAAACCCTAAACCCAAAGAACCAGCTGAAGAGTTCGCAGAGGTCAGCTTCGGAGTGTGGCCCTCAGGGTGGAGATCGGCTTTTGCGGGGCTGTTTCTTCGTGCGACTTCATGAGAAAGACAGGCCGCGACAGGTTTACCGAGCAAACGAGCAATCCACCGCCCGGAGAGAGAATCACGGTATATGACGTCAATATCTCCTGCACGACCTGTCTCGTGCTCACTTGCCATACCCTTGCAAAAAGAAGAGAGTGTAAGAGGATTCAATTCTCTCAGACCTGCACGAGGGGTGCTGATCCGTAGTCATATAGGGGCCTTAATAATTCGCGTAGGGTTTTGGGATATATTTTACTATAAATACAGTAAGGAGCCCCACAAAATTAGTATAACTATTAAGGCCCCTATAGTAGTCGTTTGAGACTTTGGAGGTGCAGCAGAGACTGATCGAACCCCGAGTAAACTGTGACAAGTTGTTCTTCGGCTCCGTCGTGCATGACAAGGAGCTCGCGGAGTAGAATAATGACCCTTTAAACCCTACAGTACCTAGACCCTAAAGAACCTGCCTTTTTAGGGCTCCTGATGATGATTTCTATATATAAGTCCTTAAAGGGTAGGTTACTTGGGGTTAACCCTAAAGCTGAATGTTAGTTTCGGGAACGATCATGTCAGGGGCTGCCTTTCAAGCCAGTACTCAAACACTAGCATGCTTCGCTCTCAGTCCTACCTGTAGTCTCCATTGTATTTCCTTTTTTGGTTAACCAATTTCATATTACAGGATCCTAACATAAAACTGGGTTACCCAAAAAAGGAACTACAATGGAGACTATAGGTACACTCCAGCCGAGAAGCAGGGTCAAGTCAACCGCATCCAAGCGTGAGGATCGGGAGACTTAGTAAGTAGGTAATAATTAAGTAGACTGACAAGTACCGTAAACAGGGTCCTACTAATACTACCTAATATTTCTAAGTCAAGAAAACAACTACTTACCAATTCCCCCTACCCTCCAAGTATCTGGGCCTGGCTTTTCTCATGCTGCGAACGGTTCTGCGTCAGCGTACCCCCAAAGCCGCGGAGTGCTGATGCTGCCGAAACAAGGTCCCTACGCAAAGACGATGTGAGGAGTCCTGCTTCCTTGAACAGCCCCCCCATGCTGCAACCTTGGATGGTCTGGGTTCGTCCTGCTAGTCGGTATCTTTACCAGACAGCATTGGAATTTCCGACGGTTATTTCTTGGTGACGAAACTCGTCGTGATGGGTCTTCAAAAGTAAGTAGGGAGGCTACCCTGTTGTCAGCGTCGAGGCATGGTCTGAACTGCTGGGCTGCTGGGCAGTTCTCCTGCAGCCGCTGAACACTGTCCTACTATGGCTCGCCCCGAATGGGGATCCCTGTGACATGTACATCATGTAACATCCATACATCACGCAGCAGTCAGGATAGATCCCCACACTAAAAAGTCCTAAACATGGAGGTCAGAAAGAATCGTTGAGCATCGCTTTACATGATGATGCAACAGCAAGCCCTGCTGAAGATTTTACGGTCCAACCGCCGCCCATGTGGGCTGAGCCCTGTACACAGCGGCCTAGGGCCCGACAAATTCTCAAGCAAAGTCTTCACCCAAATCCCGAGCCCCCAAAAGCACCTTGAAGCCTTCAAGGCCTCAACGCGGCTTGCCCGTCCTGAAATTTGGGCATCACGAGCGGGCATGGCACATCATGACGCCTGGTCATGACCGCTTCCGCTGTTCAGCACCTGACTTCGAGAATGCTCGAGTTTTGAACTTCAAGTCGAAACGAATCGACCTTTTTTTGGCCGAGGGTACACAAAGCGCAGGGATCTAGCGGAAGGCTACAGTAGTAGATTGTCTGTAATAGTTGGGGCTCCTACCTTGCCGGCTTGAATGAGGATTTGGTAGCTAAATCCCGGCAAGACTATCCAGAGTCTAGATTGGCAGGACGGCGAAAGAGATTGAAGTGAGGTTCTGTGGTCTTGCAGGGACTGGGCCATGCTTTTATATGCATGATACTAGCCTGCTAGCTACTTTGTGATGCTTACTTCAGACCTTCTTCGCTTCTTCAGTCCTGGGCGGCTGATGCTAGCAGGCTGACTCGCTCAAGGAGGCCGGTGGCTGCCCGGTAGCTCTTGTCAGGACTGCGGTGGGCGCAGGGTTCACGTACCATACATGACTCAAAACAAGCAGGACTTCGCAATGTCGACACCTTGCCCTTGCAAGTCAAAATAATGCTCATGTTGAACTTGGCACCGGAGCACAACAGGGTATCCAACTTCAACATCGACCATAAACACTGACTGCCTTAGCCCGTATATCTACAGGTCAAATCTCTGTACCCGGTCTTCTAACCCACTGAAACCTCCAGAGCCCGATCGAAACCTAAGACCTCCAACCTGCTCGACACACCCCGCACCTGGCCACCACCTTACGCCGGCATCCCATGTCGGCCCTGCAGTTGCAAGGATGCAAGACTCTTGCAGCACAAGCAGCAGGCAGGTTAGCAATCAATATATATGTATATATACATACATATAAAATATATAATACATAAATGACCCTTTCGAACCGCGCACACTCCTCTGCTGTTCGGTGGAATTTGCACGCTGGTGAGACAAAGGCTGTGAGTCCAAGAGATCCCGCTGAGTCTCTCGGAGAACGCAGAATCACATGCACACCCGGCCCGCTCTTATCAAGAGATGGGTCACTTCTTGCCTTTCTTCTTCTTGGCCGGACCCTTCTTGTTGCTCCATTTCTCGCCGTTCCACCACTGGAGAGCACCCTTATCCGCTTTACCACTGGGTTTCTGGACGTCAACCTCGACAGGCCCGATCCTGGCCACGGTATTCTTGGCCACGGGTGCCGGAAGTTGCTGCCGCTGACATAGCTTCTCTTCCTGGTCTTCCCAGCTGACGTCCACAAAGAGAACACACTTGCCTTCCCGCAATGCGACGAAGGTGAGCTGTAGAAGCGGGTCTGGCTCCGGACCACCCTTCTTCTTGCTCTTCCCCTTCTTCACCTCGATCACTTCGTTTACAGGCTTGCTCAGCACATCTGTCTTGTCCATGAAGGCATTGGCCATGTATCTGAACTCTCCGTTGTCATCGGCCTGGGGCACCTCTACAATCAGAGTCTCTCCGACCTGCATGACCATGGGCCGTGGTGGCAGCTTCTCCCCCTCGCCCACCAGCTGTGTCTCCCAGTCCAGACCCCAAGAGGCCCCAGCGCGCTGCGCGAAGAGCCCGTCGCGCTCCTCTAGGAACGCCCGCGGCTGCCGGATCAGCTTGCTTGGCCGCTTCCGGCAGTTCTTGACGAAAAGCTTCAGAGCCGCATTGGGCTTCGACAAATATGAGAGCATTGCCGTGGTGTTGCCCTCTCCTGGCCGCTCGCCCCTGAGCAACGTTACTGCACGGGGTCCTGAGCCCTCACGGGAAGGACCAAGGTAGTACACAGAGATCCACGTGTCATGAGACAATCGAAGATGAAGGCGAAGCAATGACATGACATCCTCGGCGGTGGCCAAATTCAAAGGTAATGCCACCTCGCCACAGTCCTTCCAAGACTCATTGGGCTCGTCGGGCTCTGTGGGCTCGTCCTGCCAAGACAAGGAAGGCGGCTGGAAGGGTGGCCGCTCCGCTGACTGCATGTAGACCGTCACAGGTGCCGTCTCCTTGCGGTCTGCCATGCGCTGCTGATGCAACACTTTTTCAATCCGCTGCAGAGTCTGCAAAATGGCATCCGATCGCTTTTTGACACCTTCAAACATGGAGAAGCTGGCCTCGAGGAATTCGTTGATGTCCAGCATACCATCGCCGTTGGTGTCTGCGGCTGAGAACGCAGCCTCATCGATCCAACCCTCATCTAAGTCGTCGCTGACCTCAGAAGCCACGGTCTTCTGGGCGGAGATCCACTCTTCGGGGGAGAGGTAGCCGTCCCCAGAGACATCGAAGAGCGTGAAGATGCTACGGAGAGTTTGGCGAATTCCTGCATGGTACCGGGGCCCCATTTTGGCCCTCTCGAGCAGTGCCTTCTGCGTCTGCTCGACCATGTGCGCCAAAACCTCTGCCCGAGATAGGCCCATCTCCTGGTAAGAGGTCAGCGTCCTTACTCGGAACTCCTGGTAGTCAATGAAACCACTGGAATCTTTGTCCGTCATCGTCATCTTGGCGTTGCCAGAATCGCCCCGATACACCTGGCCATCCTCGTAGTGGAGGCGCATCTCAATGGCCAGAAACTCTTCCCGGCTCAGCTCCCCGGACTCGTCGAGATCGTAGCTGCGGAAGAGCGCAGCCAAGGCCACTTCGATCTCGTCCTCGCCGTTGCCGTCGAGCTTCGCCATGGCTCTGTTTTTGGGACGTGGTCACTGAACCAAGGGGGGTAAGAGAAGGGTTGCAACTACGAGTAGCATAGTGTGAGCATCCGACATGTGAAACTCTCAGTCGCGAACTCTTCTCTTTGTCAGCATTTGACTCATGACCGTCTTAACAAAGCTAGCATCTCAGCTACTCGGTGCAGGCCTGCTTGAAGCATGGAGACAACGTGCATGTGCTGCGATGCAGTGTCGGTTTTGCTGGTTATAAACATAGCACTCCGCAGACCTGCGAGCTCTAGCTGAAAACTCTGAGAGCTTCGCGCCTGACACCCTGACACAGAAGCCGCCGCTTCGAAGGTGCCTGGATGCCCGGATAAGAAGATGCGGCTACTGCTGCAGATAAGAGAGTGGAGAACATGAGCTGGAATGCAAATCAATGATTCTTCCGGTATAAACGGTTTTGGCTGTGAATGTGGGCTCCGCCGAAGGAAAAGTAGCGAGACCTTGTATGATGTATTTGGACTCGTTTTGGGGGGTGCCGGCCCCTTCAAGGACTTATGCGAAGACAACTGTCCGTAAGAACGGATGTTAGCTCAAGTTGTTCTTGCATTCTGTGAGTGAGGCCGGGAAGTGATTTTGGAGTGAGGCTGAGATCCTACTCGACACCCTGGTCTCCCCGCTCCTGGTACCCCAGTCACGGGGGGCAAGGATCGGTCCTTAGGATTCAGGCATTCAGACGACTGCTTTGAGGGGCGAGGCCGGCAGTGCTGAGTGGCGATGCTCATGCTGTTCCATTCTCCATTCCATATTATCCACCCCACCACATTTCAGCAGAATCTCGGATAGCGTCGACCAACAACCCCACACACATCTGCCAGCAACACATGCAATCTCAAAATCTCTGATTCACGCGCCTGGCACCAGTATGTCTGCAGAAACATCCTAATCCCTCCTCTGCTCAAGCGCAACTTGCAAGCTCTTGCAAACCACACCTGCTTGAGGCCGCAACGTCTAACGATGCTGCCGTCTGTGGCCGTCGTCACCTAAACGTCGCTTGGCACGTCGCTGCAAGCACAACCTGATCAATTTCACCACCGAGCCCCACCAAAGTATCCAAGAACCAAAGGTGCCAAACAATAGCACGCTTGCTCGAACCGATGCTTTCATAAGCAGGCATCAGAGCTCGCTTTCTATGCACAGCACATGGAAGACTCACTGTACTGGTGTCTGTGAGCCATGCACTTCACTGAGAACCATGCTCCAAGCCAAAACTCAAGCTAAACCTCCTACAGAACCGGGCACGGCAAGTCCGCAAGAGAATCAATTGCGCGATGCATCTGATGTGAGTGTACTTTTTGCCGTTGAAAGGCCCTAGAAGCGTTATGAAGTGATTAAGGCTGCAAGCACCGAACCTCAACCCCAGATTGGGGCTCCACTTCAGCCAAGCCTATCGGAAGAAGTGCAGGTGATGAGTCTGCGTCTATCTCATCTCTTCTGCCTTCAAAAGAAAGTTCCATCTCCTGCCGTCGGCAGCATCAAGGGATGCTCTGCGTTGTCAGGCCAATCTCCTTCAGTTGGTCTGTTCACCTAGTGGTGACCATCCCTTGTCACAGCAGGCAAAAATTCAGGATGGACATCAAAGTGTCGACTGTGCTGTTTTGGGCTACGACTGCACATGAAAGGGAGATTCTTGTCAAGCCCTCCAAAAGCCGCTGTGCTGTCAGCTCCCACCAGAGATGCACTCCCAGACAGAGGCGGAACCATCCCAAAGATGCCCAGCCCTAAACATCGCACACCCTGAAACTAAGACAGAAACCTCACTCATACTCTCGCGAACGCGGAGGAGCCTGTGCAGTGCCAACACCGGCAAACGGGGGCGGCCTCTCTGGCAAACCTAGGCTCCGCCTTCGGATCTCTCAGCGAGGGAATTATAGTTTCCCCTATGTAGTGTTGTTCCAGTTCAAGAGCTTGAGGGGGTCATGTGGCTATTTGGGTCGCTATTCGCATGCTTTGGTCTACCTATTCCCTGCAGTCGGTGGCAACGTCACGCACGCTAAAAGCGTTGCACATCAACCAGAAGTCTGATGCTAAGTGCGGCTCTGGAAATGCAATGCAACTTAATCTGTAATCATGCTGAAGGTGGTTTTGGGCGAACTACATTCACTTCGCAAGGCAAGGGCCATCAGGCCATGCCTTTAGCGTACCACATTCGTGAATGATGCCAACCCTATCAAGCCTCACAACAGCTGTAGTTTCGGACCGGCAGTTGCTTTCAGGAGGAAAATAGGAAGTAGTATTTAGGATCTGTAAGGCATGACGAGATCCTCCAGCAATCTCCCTACAAGCGGAAGCCTCCGAGCACTTGCTGAGCGTTGACAAGAACGAGTCGCCGATGAGGATGCCGACGATCACGACAAAGCACTGCAACTACAACTGCGCTGCGACGACGGAAGGCCGTGTAGAGCTATATGGCCGAAACTGCTCGGAGTCGAAGTGAAACATGGAAGACTGCCAGGTTCATGCAGATTGGATCTCGAAAGGCGTGAGATTCGTGAACATTGCAGGGCTCACCGGAATGCTGGACGTTCCCTCAGGACACAAAGTGTGAGTGATTACATATATATATATATATATACATACTAGGTTCTAAACCAAGCCGACATCCACGTGGGAGCCAAAGTGAAGTACGGGCTTAGGTATAGGAACGAAAATACCAGTGCACAGTGTGTGAAATCTGGCATGAACGCAGTGAGGGCAGTTCGGCGCAGTTGCCAGAGCTCGCTGCGATCAGAACAGCACTTTAATTTGATGAAGCGTTGTGCTCGGGGTCTGCAAATGGCTGAAGACCGACAGTCAGTAGCTGGGTTGGGTTCGAAGCTGGTATCCGAGCAATTAGTGAACTATTGTATCCGCTGGTGTTCCGGAGGCACTCGAGTTACTGCAAATGATCTTAGTGCACAGGACCCACCAACAGACCTACAAGCAAGAAGCTTTCTGCACCCGAATCTTCTTTGTCTCTGAATATCAACATCTGTCCAAGAATTTCACCTGTGCAGTGCTGCCAGCTTAGGGTTGATACAGGATGTGGTTCAATATTCCATGAAACCTGTGGAAAAAAACCTGGCTGGATCGTTGGGATTTAGAACCCGCCCCGAGTGAGACCTGCAGGGCACTGGTTTTGTTTGGTTCCGGGGTACTGGAATACATAAGTTATTTAGGCTTTAAGTACATTGCATACATCGTAGGGACATGACGCCTTGATGAGACTTCATAGGCAATCAGGCTCCGCTGTGCATGTTCATATCGCAGCCCTGCTCTGATGAAGCAGCAGACATGTTCGACCTCTGTCTAATGGCTTCAAGACAGTTCCAGCCCGATCAAGAGCCCTTAGGCTTCTGGCGGAAAAGAGTGGACCGACTCTTTTTGTCGGCACGGGCACCTTTAAATGGAAAGGACTCGCACCGCGCATTGTGTCGACTCGCGGGAAATCGGGGCCTTCGCACTATGACCGTGAGCTGTTCGTAGCAGCATTCTGAGCACACGAAACTTCCATTGAAGCTACGCAGTCGTTCACGATGCGCAAGGGGCCCAAACACTACCGCAGTTGGCGCAACGCATCGAGCAAGAGCAGCCTGGGAAGGGCGGAAAGTGCACAGGGGTAGAAGGAGTATGAGCCTACTATGTGAAGGTATTACCATGAGGGTTTCTGAATGATGGGTGCGCTACGAGTTCTTCGATAAGGGGTTACTGTAGTGGGTGGCGCTGCGAGGGTTTCCAGAGGGGTTACTATACAGGGCCCTTCAATCGTGAAGCGATTCCTACTGCAGCTCCATATTCGTGAAAAATTCAAACGTAATATCATTAATTGTCCAGACAATGTAACTTGGAGGTCGCAGAAAGTTGTACCTGGACCGGCCAATGTGATCCAAAATGAGAAAAAGTGACTCACAAGAAATTCATTGGGCTCAACTGATAATGTTTAGAAAGCTCTAGCAAAATTGCACAAACAATGTGAAAAGAATGCGATGCCCTCGTAATTAACACAGAAACTGTATGGACTCATTCAAACATCACAGCTTGGGTGAAAATGCAAAAAAACTGCGAAAGAAATATGACGGCGGGGCCCGCCCCCCAGGCCGCCCCTAGCGCCACACGCTGGCTCTGGAAATGTAAGCAAAATGCACAGGAAAATGTGCAGAAATGTGACCAACAATGCAAAAAGCATGCAACTGCGCGGACAATGCAACACAAATGCAAACAGCTTGAACACATGCGAAATACAAACAGCAAAAATGCAACTACCAATAGAACGATTACAATGTGGTTTGCATTTGCTTTTTGCATTGCTTGTTGTTAGCATTCTCAATTACATTCCGGTTTTGTGTTGCATTTACCGGCTGAACACTGGCAGCTTGTTTGGCGCATTTGGAACAAAATAACTTTGGAGCCCCCGGAGCAGAATCGCCCCACTTCATATTAACACCATTGCATGTTGCAGGTATTGATGTGAAACTTTGATCCTGGAACACATGCGGCAGTGTTCGAGCCAACTTAGCCGAGTCTCTCGTCAGTGCACTCGAACTCTGCGAAATTCAGCATCTTGCTCAGCCTCACCAAAGTCTTTGGGGTTTTGGCCGCAACTTTGCAGGTCCGAGTCTGAGAGGAAGAGAAGATCCCTAGCCCTCTCTTAGGGTCAACACCTCCTTGCAGAACTTGCTGTGAGGCTTCGGAACGCATGCCTGGCCTGCTTTCTGTGCTGGGAGTTCAGCTAGAGAGAGTATAAGGTATAGGAGTCCCCATGGCCTATCAGGTTCAAGTGAGTGGCTCGCTGCTGAGAGTTCGGGTCCTTTACTGAAACGCCTACAAAAGACAACCCCCAATGATACCGTAGCCAAAGTCCAACATGAAGACAAACAGAGCACGGACTTTACATTCACTTCTATTCATACAGACACTACGACGGAAGGCCTCGGAGCGTCTGACTCGATCAAGGTGCGGGGCTCTGTGACCTTTGGCAGGGGAACTTT